AGTGATAGAAACCCCGTGTAAAGAAAATCTCTGTGCAGATAGGCAGTCATAAGGCAGAGGGAGGGATGGAGAACTGCAGGCCCAAACTCACATGGGAGTAACGGAGAAATGGTAACGAATAAAAAAGTAGTATGGGAAGCTTTTCCTGCCTTTTGGCACATCTTTAATTCCTGAGCAGGCGAGCTTCCTCTACCTAGTGAAAGAAAACATATCCTGGGTGAAATTCTGTGTCAGTGTTACCTTGAGATGACCGGGTAGAGGAGGTAGCGGAGGCGGGCTGTTACAACTTAGTATTTTCAATGATTTTTTTTTCCATGTTTGTAAAACTCGGTGTTTCTCTTGAAGTTTCAGCTCCAGGAATCATCTGGCGACTTAAAGTTTAGCCTTTCGCTTTTCAGAAAGAGTAGTGGTCCAACGTGGGGGTTTGCAGAGAACAGACTGGATTCTGGTTGTGTCATTCACCCTTCACTTTTGAGTTATCTTGGTCCCGGTTTCTCAGTCGTTAAAACATGTCCTTAGAGAGCACACAGGTGCTTGCGGAGGACGAGTCGCACCTTGTGCAGCAGGAAAAGCTCCAGCATCTGTGCCAGAGTCGAGTTTAAGGCTGTGGATGGTGGTCTCCCTCATGTTGCCCTGTGCTGTCAGGACAGTGTCCACAGGCACACAGGAGATCGCTCGGGCACTGCCTGCCCCTGCGTGGGCTCAGCCATGGACTGCGGGAGCGTGGGCAGCCGCAGACCAACTGAATCAGAGCAGCCCCAGACCTTCACCAGGGGCTCTTGCAAAACAAAATTACCAGGTTTGGCCTGGTAAAGTTCTGACTTTCCGTAAAGCAGTGATGGAGACTGTGGTCGCAGGTGGGCAGTGAGCATGCAGATATGTTTGCTCAGCCTAAGCCAACTTGTGTCTGGTTTCACTTGTACAGGGCTCTGGGGCAATACATGGGAATTCTCCTTCCCTGTTACGGTAGCTGGGAAATATTTGAGCAAATGTTGTGTATTAATCCTGTGTGTGTTTGTATGTCACTTTAGTCTGAACACTTTGGGAGACTCACGTAAGTTGCTAACCTGAGACCAGTAGCGATGCTGGTGTCACATCAGTCACTGCAGAGATGGCATCTGAATGAGTTAACAAGCAATTAGGTCCATGTTTAACGTTGCTAACTAAAACAGATATGCACAGTTCGTTGATCAGTCAGGCATGAAGAGCCAGGGGCTGCCGTGCTCAGAAAGCTGTGCGAGTCATGGAGCGGAGCTTCCAGAGTGCAGGGATTCTCACCGAGTCCCATTCAGCCTTAGAACTGACAATTGGTAAAATAAGAAGTAAGAAGAAGAAATCTCAATGACAGAAGCAACGTGATAGGTTTTTTACCTCCAGAAACAGCTGTTTAAGAAGGATGCTGTCTATGTGTGTTGCTGTGAGACAAGCCAGGAGCTGGTGATGCTGCTTACCCAGCAGGAGCAGCACGTGGTGGTGCCGCCGGGGGCTTGAGCAAGCCCCAGCACCATGGCAGAGCAGCCACAGCCGTCCCGCCTGGTCCTGCTACAGCCTGCGTGGGGGCTCAGGGAGGCCATGTCCCCGTGGGAGAAGCGGCGGCAGAGCCAAGGTCTGTGCTTGCGTATGGTCAGACCTACTCAGGCACATCCCCAGCCAACAAGAATGGCAGGTACTTGAATAATATTCTGTGGCAATAGCTTGGGTGGTTCAGGCTTCTAATTAGCTCTGCTTTAACAAATTTCTTATCTTTAGCAACAATACCTACGGCTGAACTCTTTGGCTGCGCTCCGTATGGGGAGGTTTTAATTACATTTTCTGACTAAAATACAGGCCTGCTGTTCCACACGGCTGTAATGTTAGAAATAACAAGGATGTTGTGTTAGTCATCTCACACTTTGTTCCCTCTAATGTTGAAACTTTCCTGCATGAAGTTATGAGAAGAGGCACATGTATCTAAAATACCGTGAGAGAGATCACGATGGCGAGGAGGTGCACTGGTGTATTTTTTTCAGCAGGCTGCTAGTCTCAGGACATGCCAGGCGTTATCTGGGAGGCGAGGCTGGGGCTGCAGCGTTCCCATTATGTCAGAGGGGAGCTGTTTGTTTTTAAGTAGCGTCAGGCACTGAGACAATGCAGGCTTCTCGCATGAACTTGCTTACACTACACTACTAGTAAATCATGATTATTACCCAACAGTTGCATGTTTTTAATCATCAAAGTACTTAAAATATTATAATAATGCTTGGCACTTTTCAACTTCAAAGCACACTGCAAACAGTAATTAGGTCTAATAACCATGCTGTGACAGTGAGACATTGCTATCTCTTGTCTTACAAAGGCGAGGGGGGGTGTCAGCCCCTGATGCAGTTGCATCATCCCGTGTGAGACTGGAGATCTACCACTGAAGACTGGGACTTGATAAACTCACCTCCCTATAGGCAAACACCCCGCTGGCCGCAGCGGCACGGAGGGCTTTGAAGATGCTCTCCGGGCTAGCAGGGAGGGACAGGACATTTTCGGTGCTCTTTCAGAGCACCTCCTCAAAACTGTAAAACCCAATCTGATTCACATTTTGTTCCATGAGGGCCTGGAGCAGCTTTTGAAGCAGCGTTGGAAAAAATTTTACCCCGTCTTGGCTTCCTGACTGGTGTGTTTTCACCACCCAGCATAGTGTTGTGGAGACTGGAGAGAATAGTTGTGGACAGCCTGTGTCAACTGTAGGTCGTTTTTCCTTTTGCAAGCCTGATCTTTGAGTTGAGTTCTTCACTAAAGCAACAGCTCTCCCATTCCTTCATTTTAGTTTGTAACACATAGGAGCGAAAAATTGTGCAGGAAGTAATTGTTAGACATGTTTATATACCAGAGACTCATAAACTGTTTAAACGTGAAAACTGATGTTAAAAACCTAGAGCTGATTGTGATTTTATATGAAGTTCTCAAAGCCTGCTTTCTTTTGGGTGTTTGTCATGTTGGTTGCAAACACCAGTTACGATTGTTCCTTAGGACAGAGTAATTTCTAGCTTCTATTTCATTAACTGCAAGATTATCTACATGATCCTTCGCGCTCTTTGCTGGAGCATTTGTGGTGTCTCTGCCTCCCACCTGAGGTGGTGGAACCCCCTCATCGTGGCGCTTGCTACCTGTCAAATATGTGGATGTCAGTCAAGAAACATGAAAGTTATTTGCAACAAGCATTTGCTGTCTCTGCGACCGCGTAAGCTTCACTTTCTACAGTAAAACAACACTCTAAAGATGGCTCGGGGAAAAAAGGACTTCCCTGTAAAAGCTAGTGTTACGTGCCTGCATGTGGGCTGCAGGCTGGGCAGCTTCTGCCCCATCCCGTGGTCTCCCTCACACGTTCCTGGCCGACCTGCTGCTCTTCTGCTCGGGTGTGAAATAGAGCCTTTTCCTTGCTAGTGTTGAAAACTGGTCTGACAGGGTGGACGTGCCAAGGTGGGTATCCAGCAGGAGGAGGAAAGAACCACAGTGTTTGTGAAACCCCGCACTTGTGAACTCTGCGCTAGGCTGTTCTTTGTAACTGCTCATTATTATTATAATGACTTATTGGCAAGTCGCATCAAGTTTTGTCAGAAACTCTTGACTTTTTTGTTTCAATATTATGAAAGCCAATAGTAACCCAGGCATGGCTATACTCCGTTGTTCAGAGGAAAGCCAAGCAGCAGGTTCTGTGCACCAGTGGGCAGGATGATATTACCTTGTCTAGCTGGCCAGGCACTTGACTCAGCTGGCTAAAGAAACGTTATGGTTTTTTTTTAACTTGTAATCTCTGCCCAATTGACAATAGTAGGCTACACAGAACAGGCTGGTGCTGTGCAGGCCCCCAAGTTACTCCAGGACCTCGAGAGGTGAAACCGCCTCATCCAGTGCATCAAGCTCAGGGCAGGTACCCAAACCTCGAGGTGTCGCACCCGCCACCTTGCTGCATGGCTGCCCTGGGGCTGGGAGGTACCAACGCTGCATCTCCTGGGGCTTTGTGTCTCTCTGGCTGCAGCTGACAGCACCTTCCTCTTGATGACAGTTTTCACATGATGCCCAGACACTCACAGTTTGTTGTTTGACCGTGTTCATTTCTGTCGTTTAGCAAACTCTTCTGGAGGCCAAATGGAACGTGTGGTTTTGCCTTTATTTCTAAAATGCAGTATGTAGAAGCCAATATAGCGTAGCCACAGTTTTTGGTGTGATAACTTGCTGTTTCTTGTTTATGAGATAATTATTGTACAATCCCTGAATGAAATTATTCTAAGGTAAAAAGCCTGTCAATCGTATTAATTATTGCTAGTAATAGTAATTATCATGTGAGCAAGCTGCTTTTCTGCTTTATGAGTTTAGGCAAGTCGGTTCCCTAATAGGTGGCTTGTTGGTTTTCAGTTATAAAAAGGGGAAAATGGTATTTTTCCTCAGTTTTGAAAGGTGTTGCTGTGCGAGTGCTGTGTAAAGCAGAGATGTTTTTACCATGT